TCTCTCTGCCTCTGCCTCTCCCCACCCCTCTCTGGAGCAAGACTGTTAATGATAGGATATTTTTAACGTAATTCATGACTTGACTGCACTTGACATACACACACAGACTTCTGTAAGCATATCTGGTCTAAGGACTATAATAAAAACTAAACTAAACACACACAGACTTTGGCAACTGGTGATATCCAGGAGCCACTGGGGTCCCACCTCTGCCACGTGGTCTGGACAGATCCACTTTCAGTTTTGTGGGCCTCCTAGTGGCCTGTTTTCCACAGTTTGGCTAGGAGCCGGTTGAGGCCAGCAGGAGCTTTTTTGGTCTGCTCCCGCCAGCCTGCCCCCCTGGTCACAAAGATATCTGCTGTTATGCACTTCGATGACTTTCTGATGAGCAGAGACAGAGGCCAAAAGGCTCTGCAATGCTCTCCTTCCCAGGTCTTAAATTCCCCCTTTCCCCACAACGAGTGCTATAAAGATGGTCAGCCGCAGCCCCACAAAGCCCTGGGAAGCAGAGCCTCGATTTCTCTGAAGGGATGCCTAGACTGATCCCCCCCTCCTTTTCTCTCTGGTACCTTACAGGCTGGACAATGATGGGGCTGACCTCCTAGGCAAGCTGCTGCAGGTGAGCACTGGAGCGGGGGGGACGGGACGGCGGCATCTCTTCTCTGGGATCCAGTCCCATGGTTTCCTTCCCAGCCTGAGCTGCGGGAAGGCCTTCCCTGTAATGGCTGGCAAGACAGATAGCTAGGGATCTCTCCCTAGTTTGGTGTAGTGGTTAAGTGCGCGGACTCTAATCTGGGAGAACCGGGTTTGATTCCCCACTCCTCCACTTGCACCTGCTGATGTGACCTTGGGTGAGTCACAAGTTCTGGCACAGCTGTCCTTGAAAAAGAGCAGTTTGTGTCAGAGTTCTCTCAGCCCCACCCACCTCACAGGGTGTCTGTTGTGGGGAGGGGAAGGGAAAGGAGTTTGTAAGCCGCTCTGAGACTCCAAGTGAAGGGCGGGGTATAAATCCAATCTCTTCTTCTTCTTCTACCTGCCTTGAGGAATGGGTGCATGCAGCAAAGTGGGCCACAGACTTCAAAAGCTTATGTGACAATAAAATGTTAGTTTTTAAAGATTTGGGAGCGCGGGAGGGGGGACGGGACATCAGAAGAGCCCTGCTGGATCGGACCAGTGGTCCCTCTAGTCCAGCATCCTGTCTCACACAGTGGCCGACCAGCTCCTCTGGAGGTCCGACAACAAGGGTGCAGAGGCTGAGGCCTTCATAAGAACATCAGTAGAACCCTGCTGGATCAGACCTGTGGTCTGTCTTGTCCAGCATCCTGTCTCACATAGTGGCCAGCCAGTTCTTCTGAAGGGCCAACTGAGGAAGTGTGCGTGCACACAAAAGCTTATACCTTGAATTAAACTTTGTTGGTCTTAAAGGTGCCCCTGGACTCAAACTTTGTTCAGCTGCTTCAGACCAACACGGCTGCCCACCTAAATCTCTTTTGGTGGTGGGAGTCTTTCTGGTGTGAGTTGGGCAGGGTAGTCATATGACCTGGCATAGAGCCAATGGAAACAAAGCCCGTGAAACTGAAGTCTGTTTACTCACAATCATTGGTTAATGTATTTGTATGCCAATAAAGGTTATTGGAATTGGTTAATGTATTCAGGTGATTTCCTTCTAGGGGTCAAGAAGAAGAAGAATCTCCATTGTTGTAGACCGTGTGGTCAAAGTGTAAAGATGTAGTCTTAGGTGTCTTTGTTGTTTTGTAGATTTCCCGTGAATCCATCCCTTAGAAATAAAGACTTTTACATAGAAGGAAGTGCCTCCTCTCCAGTGAAGCAAAGATCCATTGCAATCTCTGAATATTAACTATTTTGCCAGTTTTTCCAACACTTCTAAGCTTGACCCAGTGCTTGGGATTGATCTCTCTCTCTCTTTCTCTCTTTCCATCTCTTATCCCCCGTCTTCCAATGCAGTTTGAGGGCAGGAAGCGGATCTCTGCAGACGAGGCCATGCGGCACCTGTTCTTCCACAGTCTAGGAGAGCGAGTCCTCAAACTCCCAGACAGTACGTGCAGGCAAAGGAGGGAGGGAGGGGGCCAATCAAAAGGGTATTTGGATGGAAACATGACCAGTGGTGGTGGGTAGCATTTACAGCAGTCGATGTCGTGTTCTCCGGGAGCGTGGACACGTTGCCCGAATGTGATGAAGGACCACAGTGTTGCTGACAAGCCATAATCTGTCAGTTTTTGCACATGGGACCCCACCCATCCTCAGTTGATAAATTGACACGGGCAGATTTCAGTCAGTGGGTTTTTTGAAGATCTTTTGCTTCTGGTGTAACATGGAGAGCAGAAAGCTTAAACCATGGAAGCCGGCAGTCAGATGATTTGCTCACTGTGTGAAATCAAACACATCGTTCCACATACTTGTTCACCCTAGCCACTCCCTTAGATTTTTGAACTCACGATGCTGCAGAGATGATGGAATCAACAGCAGGCACCACTTCTCCATACAACTCTTAGAAGTGCCCCCTCGAAGTCAACCTGATAACCCTATATGCCCCTTGGGCTCCTTAGTCCCCCATTCTGCAGCCATTCCCTTAGACCTCTATCTCTAGTACATGCTCCCCCCCACACACGTATGCTCAGGTTCATGCATAACCGTCCACTTTCTGCTATTTCATTCAGTCACTCTGCCTCTGGGATTGTTGCCTGTTATATTCCCACCATTCTTGGGTTGCCTCCCAAGCAGCCTCCCAGTCCATACACAGCTCCTCCTTCCATCAGGACTGTGAGGATGTTCATTCCCAGCCAGACTGACAAGTATCCTTTCCCATAGAAGTTGGACTGCTTTTGTTCCTGAGGGTTGTTCCCTGAACGATTAGAATGTTCGTAAGTGTTCTGTAGTATCATACCGACTGAGCCAATCACTGTCTGAGGCTTCGTCACCACAAGCAAAGCGCAGTATAAGCGGTGCTTCTTTCTGCCAATTGGGGATAACTTACAAATCAATAAACAAGGAGAGAGCTTACTGTCACCTCCCTCGCTCTCAAAAGGGGGCCATATGTTAAGATGCTGGTCATATGTTGATGTATTTATAAACTTTTCACGCTTTAAATTTAAGCAGCCGGAAATTCTCTGAACAGTTGGCCACCCTAGTAATTATGTATATTATGTAATCTGTTAAATTCTGAGTAATGACACTTATTGAGAAATGTAGAGATCAGACTCCAGCTGGAATATATTTTTACACATTCATGAATGGCCTGGATTTGGAAAAACCGGAAGAGAGTTTTTAAAATTAATTTTTGAGGAGCACTTGGGGGGAAAAATTAATCCCACACCTATATCTGGGAATGTGGCTTTTAAAACGTGAACCACTCACATCCTGATTAGGACTATAAATATATATCTTTGAGTCAGGAATATGATGAGTTTCCCCTGCATAGAGGAAGAGGCAGAGATATTTTTTTAGTGACTATTCAATTGCACACTCAAGAATCGTTATAGCTTAGTGCATCCAGTAAAAGGCGTGCGTCCCATTTATTTCTTATTTTCCGTCTCCTCTTGCAGCCACATCAATATTTGCACTAAAGGAGATTCAGTTACAGAAAGAGACGGGGCTGAGATCAGCTTCCCTGCCTGAATCAGGTGAGCAACTCTTGCCCCTCATCAACAGTCCCGCCCACCTTTCCATTTGCCCCGCCCACTGGGAAGCAGGCCCTGACTACTTTTGCTCCGGCTCTTTCTCCCCAACCTTTTGCCCATCATCTTTCACTTTTCCTACTCGTAAGTCCCCAAAGCCAGAAGCTGCCCTACCCTGCAACGAGGCCAAGGTGATGAGCAGGAAATGAAGAAATCTATCTCGTGGGGCACAATTCCCAGTTTATCACAGCGAGGCACAGGAAAATGTCTGAGGGGACTGAGTCCCCGTCTTAATTGACGTGAAGAGGATGGCATTTGGATCTTCTCGTACGGGCAGCAAAATGTCTCGGACTCGGCCTGGCTAAAGCTGTCTCGTCTTTGCAAGTGACATATTCCTCAAATTCGGCAGAGGAGATCACCCAGGAGCCGCCTCTGTCTGCCGTTCCTTCTCTTTCCCAAATGCCTTTGAGAAGGGGAAACACCGCGTCTGACTCCCTGCCCCCCCCCCGAACCACACAGTGTCCAGCCCTCGTAGTAATACTCTGCGGCTGAGCGGTGAACAGTCTCTCCTCTCTCACAGGCAGCGCCGCGTTCCAGGTAGTGGACACTGAATTTTAGCCACCGAGTCAGGTATCTGCGCCCCTCCCCTTTCATCAGCACCCTTCTTGTTCTCAGCATGACAAGTGGCATTCCCTCCCCTTACATCGGCACACGTTCGTAGCCCTTTCACCTCCTCTGCCGTCACCCGCATCCGAACTCTTTCCTTTTGCACCAATACACGTCCACTTGCGGATGTTGTATTGTTTGGGATTGGAAGCAGGGGAGCGGGGGTTAGGATGTGGGAGGTGCGGGGAGGGATAAAGGTGGCAAAAGGAATGAAGATGGTATGATGTCTGAGAGCCAGCTTAAAGTAGTGATTAAAGTGTGGGTGTAGGGTCTGGGAGGCCCAGGTTTGAATCCTCACTCTGCCTTGAAAGCTTGCTGGGTGACCTTGGGCCAGTTGCTCCATCTTGCCCTAACCACCTCAGAGGGTGTAACAAAGAAAGGCAGACTGAAGTATGCCGCTTTTACCTCTTTATGTTATTGACTTCATATAAAACCCAGACTAGCCCGATCTTGTCAGATCTGGGAAGCTCAGTGGGGCCGGCCTTAGGTAGTATTTGGAAGGGCGACCTCCAAAGAATACCAGGGTTGTGACGCAGAGGTAGGCCATGGCAAGCCACCTCTGAAACGTCTCTTGCCTTAGAAACAAGCCTAGCTCACCACCTAGTGGTGCATAATGCTAAAAGAGCTAGAACTTCTGGCTGCCAGACAATGTAGGATCTCCTGGCTATACTACACTCAGTGCCACATGACGATAGCCCACCTTTCTCACTCAGACTCGAGGTGGACTACAGAATATTAAGGAATCAGACAGCAGAGATGTCCAGTTATCAGTGCCATTGGGTCACGATTACAGAACTGGACAACAGTGCAAATAAACAAGCGAAAGGTCTGTTGATGTGTGAATCAGGAAGTCCCCCATTGAAATGTCGCCTATGTCATGAGTTCACTATGTGGCCATGATCTGTTCATTTTAGTAGAATCACTTCTGACCAGTGTTCCCTGTAAGCTGAGTTAGTGTGAACTAGCTCACAGTTGTTTAGCCTCTGGCTCACACATTTTTGTCTAAGCTCGGGGAGGAGGGCTCCAGAGCAAACTAATTTATGCAGCAGCCAAATCGCTCGCTCACAACATTAATGCCAGTCGCTCACAAAGTAGAATTTTTGCTCACAAGACTCCACAGCTTAGAGGGAGCATTGCTTCCGACTGGGGAGCACTTGCAGGCACTATTTAGATGCTGTAACATCTAGATTCAAGTCCAATACGCAGGGAACACATGGACGCTGCCTTCTATTGAATCAGACCCTTGGTCCGTCAAAGTCAGTAACATCTACTCAAACTGGCAACAGCTCTCCAGGGTCTCATGCTGAGGTCTTTCACATCACTTACTACCCAGCCCAGGAATTGAACCTAGAACTTTCTGCATGCCAAACCCATGCTCTACCCATGAGCCATGGCCCCCGCCATTTAGCACCTTGGAGACCAGCAAGATTTTCAGGGTATGCGCTTTCAAGAGCCAAAGCTCTCTGATCTGACAAAGGAAGCTTTTGACTCGAAAGTTCATACCCCGAATATCTCGTTGGTTTCTGTGGTGCCACCGGACTCGAATCTCTCTGTTCTTCCACCGACCGATAAAGCTACCCACCTGAAACTGTCTTAATTACTATAAGGATGGGGATGAATGGGCGGAAGGAACGAACTGATAGGTGGAAAAGGAAACTTGAAAGAATACAGCAGACAGTGGAGGGAAACGTGGGGGACGGAGTGGTGGTGATGTTGCCAGAGAGGGGAGCAGAGGCAAAACATCCTTGAACGCTTTCTGTGTTTTTCTTTCAGTGAATGGACAGAACGGACGACCGAGCCTGCTGCTTTGAAACTCCCCCCCCGGATCTGGGTTGGCGGGGCAGAAAATAAACCAGCTCCCCCACCCTGGGCACACCCTACTGCCAGCTTCTTTGTGTCGAACTGTGGAGCGAGGACTTGTGCTGGGAGTTTTGCTGGGGTGAGGGTGGGGGGTCACGCTGCCCTGGAGCCGAGGAGAAGCACCTCCTACCCCCTGGCGTCAAATGGCCAGGGACTGATAACCCCTCCGCTGCTGGGATGGACCCTCCCTCACTCTCTGACTCTCTCACACAGACATACACACACACACGCGCATGGTGTTTCATTTTATTTTTTAAGTTTTTATTTTTTCAACGCGATATGATAAATATTATATTTACAAATATCTATAAAGAGAGACACCTCTGCTCTACCCTCTCCAGTTGCAGGGAGCATACAGTATTATCTGCAAGGGAGCCGAACTCCACTTCCGCCTGATTGGGGAGAAGGGCGGGGAGAAGAGATGCATGGAGGGAAAGGGGAAGAACGCAGGGCTCTTTTTGTAGCAGGAACTCCTTTGCATATTAGGCCACACATCCCTAATGTAGCCAATCCTCCAAGAGCTTACAGAGCTCTTCTTACAGGGGCTACTGTAAGCTCTTGGAGGATTGGCTACATTAGGGGTGTGTCGCTTAATATGCAAATGAGTACCTGCTACAAAAAGAGCCCTGCGGGACGTATAAGGGTCACTGTCTGTCCAGCCATCTTCTGCACTCTGTGTGTGTCTGCAAGCGGGGTGGGTGAGAGCCACTTTGGTCATTTGAAAGATGGGTGGATCCTCGCTTGGTCTGACATCTGCCCTGTTGTCTCCCCCTCCCCTCAAGTTACTGTTGGCTTTGGCTTGGGGTGGAAGTCTTGCTGGCGGGGAGGTGTGTTGAAAGACCACCTGCTGGGCCAGGGAAACAGGTATCCTTGGAGGCCTCTTTTTTGGGAGCAGTATCCTTTACTTCCTGTCCATCATCCTTCCCTGCTTGGTTATTCGTCTTTCATGCTGCACGGAGTCCCTCCACCCTGTTTTTCTATCTGCTTCTGCTCAGAGGTGTAGCCCACTACTCCTTGTTTTTTCTTCACATTGTAGCAGAGCCTGTTTTTTTCCCCGTTTTGTTTTTTTGCTTTGTCTTCCTTCGATCTGTGCCTCGCTTGGGCTCTCCGCGCACATTTGGTCAGCCCTGTCCGTCCCGGCTGTGTTATTCCTGTTGATCAGTCATGCCTCTCGCGTGACTTGCTTGCTTACTCAGGGTTTGCACGTAGTCCTTCGTGGGCCCGATCCACTGGGAACTTTTAAAGGCCAAGCCCTGTTGAAATGAAATGGGAGCCGCTGTCGATAGGGCTTGCCCAGAAGAAATTCCCCTCTGGGTTGGATCTCGTTCCTGCCCTTCCCCGATGTGTAAGTCTTTGGCAATCATAATTTGTTGCTTGGCCCTTACTTCTTACAAGCCAGATTGCATTTTTTTAACAGTACTTGGGACCTTTTTCTGATATTACAGCATTTACAAAGTCCTTGCTTGATCTCCACATAGATCCTTTTCTTGCAGTTGCCTTGGTCATCGCTCCCACCTTTTCCTTTCGTCCATAGACATCACTTTTAGTCTCTGCAATCTGCAGCTGTTCTTGACAGTTGCTCCTCAGTCCTTCCATAAACTAAGTCCCTCGAGGCTCACCTCTGGCCTGTGTCAAAGGTAAGCCCTATTCTGAGGATAACTAGCCCCCATTTTGCTCTCTCACAGAGCACCTTATCAGAAAGCTCAGAGGTTTGAGTAAGGGGTTATTCAGCCCCTGTTCTATCAAAGACCTACTCAAGGGTTAATTGGCCTCTTCCTCCTTTACTCAGTGATAGGCGTCCCAAGTACTTACCGTGATCCGGCGGGGGAAACATGCTCCCCGGCCGGACCATTCCTCCCTGTAACACACCATGCCATCGCCAGGAAGTGATGCTCGGCGACGCTCTGGCAATGGGACTGAAAACTCAATGGTACCATCGAGTTTCCAGCCCCATTACGAGAGCATCGCCCAGCATCACTTCCTGGCGACGGCATGGTGCGGCGCGTCTGTTGTCCCCGCAGGAAGGATCCTGCAAGGACGTCTGTGTCCCTCGCCAAATCACGGTAAGTACTTGGGAAGCCTGCTCAGTGAGCCTTTGTTTTATGGTTTAACAGACACACTCTTAACTTCTGCTGCTTTATCAAGCACTGTCTCCAAGGTTATTGTGACCCTCTCACACACACACCCCCACTTCAGTCTCCATGGCTTCTAATTTATCCTTTGTCTGATGTGTGCCATCAGTTCCTCAATCTATTCTTATACAAAAACTTACCAGCCTTTATTTATTTAAGCTCAGAAATCTCTGGAGAATCCTGCCAGTCGGTAGGATTCCTGGAAGACGGAGACTCCCCATCCTTCTGTCTCTCTATTACAGAGAGAGACCTCAGAGGACAAGGGAAATATCAACCGTCCCCACTCCAAAAAGCTAAGCTTTTTTGATACTGCGGTACTCTCAATGCAAAAGTATTACAGCTCTCCAAGCGGTCAAGATTGTTCCTGTAGCTCAGAACCCAGAGTCCTGGGTGGATGGAATTCTAGGGTGTCGATTCAGTCCCGCCTTTGGTCATCTTTGCACGTATATGGATAAGGTGGCACCCAGCCTCCCTCCCTTTGATCACGGCCTATATATATATGTAATTTGTGTGTTTGTGTGTATATATGTACATATGTAACCATTTTTATATGCAGCATGAAACGCTTGTAAGGTTCAAAAAATACCTCCCCCCCCTCTCCTGTTAGAGCCATATTATGTTACTACCACCCTCTGGCAACATAAAGGATCGCTGAAGGTGCCGCCTCTACAGGGTGTGTGTGCAGAAACGTCGTCTGCCTTGTGCTGGGCTACAAGGAATTAGTGATGCAGGAATTCGTGATGCCTGGTGTGTGGGGGTCTGTGTGGTGGAGAGATCCCAGGAGAATCCCACCAGCAGAGGCGTTAGATACTGGGAATAACCACCACAGTGATACTCTGAGGGGAAACCTAATGCTCAGGGGATAAGAGAGGGTTGTGTTTACAAAGAGGGTCCTAATAATCGGGAAAGAAGACCGTCTTTCCTTCTGTTTCAGAGGACATCTAACTCAATAACCTGCCTGCATGACCCTCCTTCTCTTCCTGCTTGTTCCTCTCTAGGCTCTGGCCTCCTGGTTCCTCTTTTCGTCTTTTCCCCGGGATGCACCTTATGACCGAAGAGGCTTTTGTTAGGGGGACCATTTCCTTGACCCCCACCGAGTCTTCCTTCTTAGATCTGTTTCTTTAAGAGCTCCAGGCCTACCGAGATGAAAGTTCTCCCTGCCTTTGTCTTAAAGAAATACTAGCCATCTTTGGGTCCAAAAGAGTCAACCTTCCTTCCCACGGGAGCTTGCCATTTGGAGTGCACAGCGCATTTCCTTGTCGCTCCTCATTTTGCAGCCCAGGACCAACACAAAGCCACGACTTATTTCTTTGACCCTGGTTAAGGTCATCGATATACAAGGCGGCCCTGGTTTTAGCTTCCCAAGCTGAGCCCTGGCTCGAGAGGGCACGTATAGGGAGACACCAGAAGCAGCAGAGGTGGGACAAACTGCCTTAATTATGGTTTGCTCAGTGCAGATGTAATGCTTAACCATGGTTAATATAAACCATGGTCTTTGATCCCAGAAAGCATTTCTACGGACAGGGTGACTTCTGCTTCCACGGGACTTTATTGCTCTTTTCCACTTGCCCCGCTGCAGCCCAGTATGTTCCCCGAAATGCTGCTTTTGGGCCATCCGTGGAAAAGCTCTGATGGGTCCAAGCCATGGTTTGCAAACAACTTCAGCCTGTGATTTCTCATCCTGGTTTGCAGTCACTCAACCATGGTATGCAGTCCCTTTATCCGTGGTTAAGGACAACAATCCTTGGTTAAATGTACATCTGTTTGGGGCCCATGGAAGTTCCTGTTACAGTATAGTCTGAGTGGAGTTAGTGGGGAGACATTGACCAAGGAAAACAGTGCTACTTTTTTGGGGGGAGCCCAGAATCTAAACTCCTGTTTTCTCTGTTACCGGAAGACAAGAAATGGAGTATAGAGAAATGTAGCAGAGTTGGATACAACAAATGGTACGACTAACCTGCAGATGTAAGCTGTTAGTATCCTACTTTAATTGTCATGACATCTCCCCCTGGGAACTGTGGGAATTGTAGTTTTTGGAGGGTGCCATGATAGTTAACCTCGTTGGCTTACCATATGCATATGGATTCTTAGTATCTGAGAATTGGGATAATCCAGTTTCGATGTTGTGCGAGGGAAACCCAAAGTGGCCTGTTGAAGAGTGAATGTGCAGAGGATCTGGATGAATTACTTTGGAGATGTGTGCTGTTTGGAAGAACCCACCAGAACTGAAATTTCTGGACTGGAGCAGATATGTTAACTTTTTCTTGCAGTGAACGAGATGCTCTGGAATGGATAGTCCCTAGCATATGGAATTGACTATATCTGTGTGCTTCCCTCCACCTTTCGCTGGGGTGGATATGGAGTTTAGTTCTCCTGTTAGCGAGAAAAGGATACCTTGTATAGAACTTGAATTGAGGACGTAGCTTCTTTGCTTTAACAGATGAGAAAGTGGCGATCATTGCAGAAGAAGATTTGGTGGCAGAAAAGAACGTGCAGAATTCTCTCTCTCTCCCAGCTGCTCCTCCACCCCCCTATTCAGGGTTTTGCACCATATCCAAATGTACGAAACTGATTAAAAAGTCTCCAAGAATTTCTGTGTGTCCAACATATCTCCTTTGGATTCAGATGGAAGAAAGTAGAACTATGTTGAAAGGGGTTGTGCAGGAGAAAGAATTCCCCTTATGGGGAGTTGTTCCCTCTAGGATTGCACACGTTTTTGATTCCAGATCACATTCCTGTTTGTATTAAGAGCGTTTCCTGAAAATACCCCCTCCCAAGCATGTATAGCTAAAAAGCCAGTTCCAAGTATTATATTATATTCTGCTTAGAGAAGTAAATTTTTCAGAAATTTTGAAGCCATGGGGGGGGGAATGTTGATTCCCCCCCCCGGAAAAAATCCATAAATTTTGGGGAAATTGCAGTATATGCAATACTTACTGTCCTATCAAATCTAAACTAATTTTACTGCTTTAGCAACATTAAAAAAATCTGCATTCTTAACTTTGCATATAAAATTGCAACACTTGACATATTTGTGGAATTAAAAAATTGTAAATGCCTTAGTTTTGTACAAGCAAAATTGCAATAGGTGAGAGAAAACTGCAAGCTGTTACACTCTTACGTTATCTTAGTGCATATACTTACATTTTTGCTATCTGGTTAGAGTTTTCCTCTCAGGCTTTGGTGCAGTTTCTACCCCACCTCCTTCTGATAGTTCTTTTTACCTAGTCTATGGTTAAATGTGTCACAGTGGCTTGCAGGAGAGGTGAAAAGGTAACCAAGTTAGGTCAAAAGGACAACAGAAGGCATGCAACTGTTGAGAAGCAATGAAATCCCTGCATGCTCCCCTAATG